ACCAAGACTGTAAAGTAAAGCAAAAATGATTCATGGTTTCCTTTTTTATTTATTTATTTATTTATTTATTTATTTATTTATTTATTTATTTATTTTGAGAAATAAATATAGGAAAACTGCTGCATGCATGTGTTATTAGCTCCATTTTACATAACAATAAATAAAAAACAGTTACTTTTGGATGTCTCAATTGCCAATTAGCATTAAAACAACTGCTCTGTGCTGGAATAACCCCAAACTTTCAACATATCATAAAGAAATATAGGTGTTAACCTAAACTATTAGGAAGGGAAACAGATTTAATCAAGCAAGCTAATTTCAGTCTGGGAAATACTTAAAACATGATTCTCTGCAACATTCCCCATCCAACATATGAGTCTAAATGTAAATTGTCTATCATTTTCTTTTCAAAAGAAAGCATATTTGCTCTATTTTGTGTAGGTATGTCACCTAAAATTACTATAGAACAAATAACTAAACTTTTTCACATGTGTAAGAATTAGCCATTCAAAGGATTACAAGAATCCAGATGTCCAGACAAATGTTTCTAATCTAAAACTGCGAATCAAAAAGTTTAATCTTGTGTTTCATTGCTTGTTTTCTCATTCTGGTTTATTTTAAGTTTCACTGCCTCTTCAGAAGTCCTTATTTCCACTGCTACAATCTGCCTGCAATCCTCATCTAGCTTCTTGTAGTTGCAATAATGCATGATGAAGAGAAAGACACCGGGCACCAGCATGAGCGCACCACATGCATAGTACATGTATTTGTAGTCCCCGAAAACATCAACCAGGGCCCCTGAAAGACAGAATGCAGAGTCGACAAGTCAACTTATGTTTCTGCAAAAATTATACTTCATGAACATTGCTCACAAACCTGAAATGGGGGGTCCAAGAAGCACTGGTCCACACTCGATGATAGTGACAAGTCCAACTGCACTGGAGAAGTGATGAGCTCCGACAAGGTCCATAAGGACTTCAAAAAGTAGTGCAGAGAGTATTTCAAATGCCAACCCAAAGAAGATCGAATAAACAACCAGACCCCCATATCCAGACGCCAGTGGACACCGTAGGTGGCAAACGCCATTGTATGAAACAGCAAAACTGAAAAAATATTGTATTCTTGGTCTAATTCACCTGCTGTTGGGTAAGAATCCAGTAACTGGTCTGCTAAACATGTCCACCAAAGCCAAAATAGAAAGTAGCAAAGGTGCTGAATATTCATATGTCCCTTGATGCTTAGCGTAAGGATCCAGAAACACAACAGGAGCAAAAGAGCCAAAAAACATGACATTACCAATAAGAAAAAATGAGAAAGCCTCTGTGTGTGAAAAGGGAGATGTCTATGAAAACAAAGCTCTGACTTTTTCTCTTGTTTTTGCTGTCATCAGCTGAAGGGTAGCAGACAATGAGCTAATATTCGCAGTAGCAGCTTCTTCAGAGGTTTTCCTCCTGCTCACTGATGAGTCAGTATTGGACTGGGATCGGGCTTATTTATTAACTGGTTTCATCAAAGCACCAGCCACACAGCGGTTCAGAACAATGGACCCCAGGACGGAAAAACTCCCTCTCCCACCAAAGGAATTTAAAAGGAACTGATTTAGAGAGGCCAGAGTGGAAAGAACGACTGGACTTCCAGCCATAGCAAGTCCATTTGCGAGTGGCCTTTTGACCTGAAAGTAAGTGCCAGTGATTGTCAGAGCTGGCTGCAGGGTGAAGGCAAGACCAAAACCTTTTGAAAGGAAAAATAGCACATCATATTGGGAAGCAGAATAATAATGATACAGGATTTTAAGTCTTTCTTAGCAATTGTATTATGTCCAATTTAACTTAATACCTCTACATAAAATCTAGTGCAAGTAATTAATTTCAGAAGTCACTTAGGAAATAGACTCTGTGTGTTCAATTTAATCACTGTACAAATCTAGCTGTTCTATGAAATCGTTTAACAAATGAATACAAAAGAACGCAGCAGGCAGGTCAGGGATAATGTGGAGAGGTTTAAAGGGAGATTAGGATATAAAATAATATGTTTAGGTTGAAGCATCCTACAGAGCGCCATCCAGCATTTCAAAATGTATGTAAATGGAGGTTTGTCTAAAGTGACAAGTCAGACGTTGAGATTTAATCAGAGAAACAGTCAGAAAGGGGAGGAGAAGCAGCAATGGACAACTCATGTGGGAGAATCTGTTGATAGAAAACGTTCATCCATGTACACCAATGTGTGGGATCCTCTATCACAACCACTGACTCCTAGTAACACTCCAAAAACCTCTTCTGTTTGGTCAACAATTATGATTAGTTGCTGGAAACTGGCTGTTGTTATGATCAAATCCCTTTATGAGTCGTTAAACTGTTAGTCTCCATGTTTGATGATGATATGGCTGGATGGAGATTCAAAGCCACCTTTCTGGCAAAGCAACAACTAAAACTAAGCAGCCCAAACTTCAACAGAATCGTTTAAATTTTCTATTTGGCCATCACCAAACACTGATGTGACCCATGGGAAGCTGGCAACCCATGAAGGAACCTCCTTCACCCATAGGTATTATGAATAAGATAAATGAGATAAGTGTTGAAGGTAGCTGCATCTTGGCAATTCAAATGGAGCAGTCAAAGTCCAAATAGTGAGGTTGAGAATCAGAGGCAAGAAATTAATATTGATGAGTTGATGAGTACCAGTGATCTTCACCCAGTCTAACTGAGCTTGAGGTAAAGAAAAAACACAGAAAAGATGCTATCGGTAGATGTGATCTGTAATTGCTGCACTTGCAGGTACTTAAGCACTGACTCAAAGGAGCTGAATACATGCATTACTCATTTTTCAGATATTCCTGTGAAGAATTTGTAAAGCAATGCATCCTTTTCCTTCCATTTCAAGAATATGTTCTGCTTTGTGTTTTCGTCTGTCACATAAAATTGCAATGCAAATACTTTTGCCAAGTCTCTGAGGACAGTCTTACTTTGCAGCGATTTTGGCAAACATTAATATATTCCACTGAACAAGCGCTAGTGACATCACAGAGAAAGAAAACAAGGTCAAGTGACTGAAACAAAGCCAGTTCTAACTGAGCAACTTAAACAACCTTTCAATACTAAAACTTAACCGTACAAAAAGATGACGTTATACAAAAGTAACAAAAGTATTACTCAAGAAAATTAAATAAAAAAAATAGTATTCACCTCCAATTACTCTGACACAGAGGTGCAGATTAATTATGCTGGTTCCTAAAGAACCGAACACCATGCCAACGCACACCATGAGCCCACCGACCATGACCACAGGTCTGCTGCCATGTCGGTTCACAAGCATACTGCTGACAGGGCCTGCATGTGAGAAGAAAATTTCTCTTTATTCAGTTAACCTTTCAACAACAAAAAAATAAATAAAAAGCTGTGTTAGCATGTAGCTGTTCAAGCATGCTAGTACCAGTAGAGCAAATTTTATAAGTGAGTTTTGTGAAAGTAGCCTATGGCTGCTGCTGACCTCCTGCATACTTAGATGCCAGCATGACTGAGGACACCCAGGCAATCTCACTGTAGGAAACTGAAAAATATTCCTGAATTTCCTTGAAATAGATGGTGAGGGACTTGGGAAAGGCATAAGAGAATCCTATGGAGATGAAAGCAGCAAAGGCGACTGCCCATCCCCAGCTTCCATCTGGTGGCGTGTAGCCTAGATTGGTTGCTGCTGCAGGTGGCATGTTCAGTCCTCAGACTGGAAAGTGGAAACAGATAATAAGATGTGCACAGAGAACAAGCAACTGCAAATTTCCAAATAAATTCTGGCCCTTAATAAACAGATTGTTTTCCTCACCTCTGTGCGGTCCTTAAAACTATTCTGCGCAGTCTGTGAATCTATAGATTCCTCCCTCAGCACCCTGCTGCAGGTCCTTTGATCTCATCACATGTGCTCCCACAAAAAGTGCAAGTGGCTGTTCACAACAAAAGCAAAGGAGTAGGCCCTTCCTGAGGCGTGGAGCTCAAAAAGAAAAATCCTCAGCAGGTAACTAAAGATAAAGTGGAGAGTTATAAGAGTTGCATCATGCAATGCAACATTTCCTTTAAAAGTTACAGAATGTGATTTTTTTTTAATCACATCATTTTATGCCTGATAAATATTTGTGTAAGTTTCGTGGTGTTAGTTTGCAGATTACGTGTTAGAACAGCTGTTTTAACACATAATTTATTAGCACATAGAAGCCATTAAATAATGAAATGATATTTAATTTAGACAGCCAAGTATAACACAGAACTGAAACAAAATAATTACGAGTTTTAAGAATTTAGAAGCCGTGCAAATTAATAACATGCATGCAGTTGCAAAATATTCAAATAAATTGTTTTATTATTATTATTATTATTATTATTATTATTATTATTATTATTATTATTATTATTATTATTATTATTATTATTATTATTATTATTATTATTATTTTTATTATTGCAAGAGTGTAAAGTTACGCTGAACATTTTAGAAAAAGGCATTCTTTCAGAGCAGGGAAACTATCTTAGTAAAGCCACATGTGACAAACGTTTTATTACCCCAGGTACCAAAACTTTGAACGCTCCCTCTTGCATAAAGGGCAGCACTTTGTCTTTTCCTATATGACAAGGTTAGTCCACACAGAGAGGGATCTTTGATCTTTCCTCTCTGCACTATCCCCCCATCTTCCAGAGAACTGTCTCTGAAAATATCAGGGCCTTTGACCGAGAAACAGAAGCACAGGTCTTCTGGCATAAATGTGTTTTTCTGGCACAACTCCTAAACATGCTGTCACCAAGAAGTTCCTGTGGAGACATGATGACCCACCTATTTGCTGCAGATATTTTTAAAACTTCTTTAGTATTTGGCCTTTACCTAGGGTTCTGTTTCTATCTATTTTTTTTTTTTTTTTTTCATATTCATAGAGTTAGTATAAAAGCTGATGATTCCAAGTTTATTAGATTCAATACAGAGACACTCCAGAAGGTGGCACTGTTGTTTGACCTACCGTAACTCAAGAAGAAGAGGAGCTCCGCTGTTATGTGTTCGTTCTTGATCTGTGAAACATAAACACGGTCTTTTTTTTCTCTTCGTGTTTTTTTCTTCCATTCGCAGACGCCAACTTCGCCAAAGTTAAGGAACTTTCTAATAGCATCAGCCACATTCGGCTGCATTATTAAATTGATCGTTTCAACAGTGTCTTATTCGAGCGGTTTTGTTAGTTATGTTTTGTAAAGTTAGAGTGGGTTTGTCCACGGCGGCTTCAGTCAGGTTCCCCAGCTGTACAAATCCGACAGTGAAACTGGTGATGCCAGGGTTCTGCAGTCACCAGCCGAGGAACCTCAGCTCCGAATCTGCAGGTGTCAGGGTGAGACATGCCTGTTCTTTCATTATTCTAACAGCGAGCCTTGACACTTCTGGGAAACGTAAATTGTGAAGCTCAGTTCCTGATTTCACATAAAAAAATACAAGTTGTATTAAAAACTTTTTCATTCTAATGAAATCGTTTCAAAGTGTAATTACTTACAATATGAAGCCTATCCCAAAGGATTATTTTAAAATCACTCAGGCTGCTCTCAAAACACTTTTTTTAGTGATGAAACATATGCTTAATTTGAGAAATTTGAGAAATTACACCCCACACTGTTGCTGAACATAGACACGCCTCCATAGTGATGCATTTTTTTGTTTGTTTTGCCAGTTTGCTCCATAATTATGTTTCAAAAAAATTTTATCACAGCAGATGCATTTTTTTCACCATGCAATAAATAAAAGCTCATTATTATTATTATTATTATTATTATTATTATTATTATTATTATTATGTTATAAAGAAAATGATCACTCATGAAAAATATGCTTAGGCATAATGATGAAATTAATGATTTTTGCAGTCCCACATGTAAAACACTGTGACGCACTGAGTAATTTCATAACTTTCTGTTTCCCCACCCCCCAAAAAAATCCACTTTTTTCTCTTATATATCCAGAAATAGGTCATCATTGCACCTCTGATCAATATGGTTAATTAATACATAATACACAGCATTATTGACATTAGAAAATAAATATCCCATTCATAAACAAGAATCATCTTTCTTAATTCTGACAACTTTTCATCAGAACCAATAACACTGTCATCAGCTCACACTTTTCCTTCCATAAGCAATTTTCGTGTTTTTTTTTTTTTTTTTTTTTTTTTTTTTGTGAATGAGTAAAATCCAACAGATGAAAGTATCATAATCTCTATTCTATTCCAGGTATTGTATGATGGGTTGTGTCCCATCTGCATGACAGAGATCCGCTTCCTCCAGTTCCTGCAAAGAAACCAACCGGGGAAAGTTCATTTTATTGACATCTCTAAGCCAGGCTACAACGGGGCAAAATACAATGATGTCACCTATGAGATGGCCATGGAGGAGATGACTGTAATCGATGAGAAAGACGAGGTTAACTCTGAACACAACAACCTAACTGAGACTTAAATAATCTGAAAAATGCACTTACATCTTTACTTTTTTGCATTGCCAGGTCCATCGCGGCGTTCCAGCGTTTGCAGTGATGTATGGCGCCGTTGGGCTCGGCTGGCTGGGCCGCTTTATGATGTGGTCACCGGTGAGGCCGTTTATGGATAAATCATACGCCATCTTTGCAAGGAATCGACTTAAGTGGACTGGACGGGCAGAGGATTGCACCACAGGACGCTGTGAAAAGAAATCAGTTGACTCTTCCTGACTTCATTAATAAAATTAGCTACTGTATTGATATGAATGTGTTGCATATTGTGCTGCTGGAAAATCTAATTAAAATGCTGGAATGTAGGTGTGGTAAAGACTTTATGCTTTTTTTATACATATATGCAAGGTGTGTCGTTCTGACTTGATGCTTTTTATGTTGTCCGGATCAATGGAAAATACTTTGAAAACAATTGAACCGCAGCAAGAATGGGGGGAAAGCAAAGACTGAAATTAGACTTGGCTGCATTTTGATTAGCAATATGGATGCTATTTGATTCTCACATTTAATATCAAAAGTACAACTAATAAAGTTTGGATTTGTTTTATGGAGTTCATTTTGAGTGACACTATTTTCTGTTCAACTTGAATTCTCAACAGCTCAGAGAGATGTGTCCTCCTGTAACAAACAAGTTGGTAGAAAAAGAAAAAAAAACATTTAAGCAGTAAAATATGTCAGATCAGAAAAAACAGTCCGATACCGTGATGCCATTTCAGTCATATTTTGTAAATTAGTTTACAGTGGAAATAAGTTACATTAATAAGTTGGTACACGTTCATAGTTAGCTATTTGTAAATTCATGCTAACAATAGTAAAAAAGAAAAGGGTTTGGAATTGCATAATAGTGTGACATTTGTTTTACAAACTATCTTTGTCTATCAAAACTATTTTTGATTTAATGCATTTGCCGAAACATGACCGAGTGAGCGCTCTTAGCAGCAAACTGTCTTTGACGTATATTCTTCCGGTAACCATGTCAACAAGAATTTAGGCATTTAGGAGAAAGTAAGCAACTTATGAATATCTGAATGTACTTTATACGCTATGTGCCTTGGGAAACTTTCATCTTTGTAAGTATTTATGAATTTGGAAGACACTTTAGCGTTGTTGTTGATAAAATGCAAAGCAGTGAACATAATTTTTGAGTGTAGCATTATCGTCTAGAAGTGTATTTGTCTTTCTGTTGTATTTCAGTTATAAAAACGTTTTGAGTGTAGCATTAAGATGAGTGTAGTGGCTAGTAATGCATTTTTCATTACTGTTATATTTCAGTTTCAAAAACGTTTTGAGTGTGGCATTATGAGGATATTAGCTATTGATGTGTTTTTTGCCTTTTATTGTATTCACAAAAATCCGTTTATAAAATATCTTCAGTTAAGAAAAGCAAGCTTGGTTCTATTATTTATTCGCTGGCTGTAGCTGCGCATAGTTATGTGTTAAGAACAGCACAATTAGAGTAAAGTTTTAATCTGTTTTATGGAGCTCATTTTGAGTGACAGCATTATTTTCTGATCCGCAGTTCAGTCTTGTATTCTCATCAACTCAGAAAGACGTGTCCTCTAGCAAACAGGCTGGTATATGACAAACACTCAGCAACAACAACAAAAGACCTTTAAGCAGCAAAAGTTGCCTGATCACACAATAAAGCAATTTGAAAGACAGACACAAAACGAGTTCTGCTTTAGCAACTGTTCTATTCTGTTAAATGTATTGTGCAGATAAGACTGAAAGTCACTGAAGCAAAATGCAGTCAATTTCCTGTCATACCAGAAAATCAGATTGAATTTTTTTTCAAAAGCAAATAAATAAGAAGACTGTGAGAAAGCTGCCACTAGATGCCACTGTAAGTCTGCATTATTATGAGCAGACTTAAAGGAGATAAATCGCTGCTGTGATATGTCAAACCCCTAACACTTCATTTTGTTTGTAAGAAATCCTTTAATATTATGTTCAAGCAGATACAAGCACACAAACATTACTGAAAGCAAAGTTAGATGAATATATCCACTGCGTTGCATGTTCATCATCTGAAAGGTTACACAAGTTAGTTGTGTAGGACTGTAGTTTGCACAAAATGTTTCTCTTGTGGAAAAAACAGATGCAATTCAGCTTCCATGCTTTTGATCATTTTTTTTTAACCTAAAAAGAAACATGATGAGACTATATGTTTAGTTTGAACCTGTGCGTGTAAATAATACTTTTTTAAGAGGAAAACATGTCAATATTTCAAGATGATATTCAAATGAGTTATTGAACATTTTAAATCTTGATACATTAGAACATCATTTAAGATGTATGTTGTGTGTGTTTGTCTCTGTGTGTGATGAGATGTGACGTACCGACTAACAGCTCAGAGACACACTCTTTCTGTTGATTTTCCAGGAATGACGACATGACTTCATGACGTAGCTTTGTCTTTATGAAGATTGACTGAACTGGTCCAAAACTCCAGCAGTCCACAAACAGAACCGCTCCCACCCAAAGTCTGGATCAACACAATACGACAGAATTTTTTCATGCAATTGCCACAGGTAAAAATTTGAAGTTCCTCTTTGGTGAGGTTTTGTTTACCCGAATTGTTTGTCCCCGGAAGCTTACTAGAGTAGGATTTAAGACAAAACAAGGATTTATTTTTCAGGTAAAGCTGTTTATCAAATCTGCTGTGAAGGGTAAGGTATGATCGTTTAGATCATAACTTTGCCCTGTTACAGTAAAAATAACCGGATTAGGTAACTCGCCAAAGTTGTCAAACTGCACTTTGACTATGTCTTTGCAGACGACATATGCATAATCAAGGTCAAGGTTGTATATTCTTTTTTACCTGCTTTCACAGATGTATTAGACAATCAAGCTTGGGATAACATTCCCATTAAGCAGTTCTAGGAAGCAAGCTAGAGCAGAACATAATGCCAAATAAAGGCTACCCTTTTCAAATTTGGGGGGGAAAAGTCAACTGACTAAATTTTCACCTTCACTTCACTTTGCTTTCTCAGTAGAGTGCATTTTTTGCAAGGAACTGTGTGTGTAAATGATCTTATAGGTATTTTATATAGTTATATATTTGCCACTGTGCATGATGTAGGTCTTCATTGGCCAGTGATTGATCAGTTGGATTCATTAAGATTATGTTATGGATTCTTTCTAGGTTGCAGTTGATTATGTTGCAACAGAGAAGAGGTGTCCACAACAAGTCTGGGAGCTTCATGCCACACTGAGTCAAGAATGGGTCACCCATTTTGCTCAGGTGTCACTAAGAGGACTTTAATATCATGCAGGAATGTGTACACAATGATCTGTCTCAAAAGAGACCAAAGACTGGCACTTTGTCCGAACTCATTCAGGCTTTATACATTTACTAGCAGTGCAAATCTCTTTACAAGTTATGCTTCAGTCTTCTTTAAAGAAATTGCCAGGGAAGTAAGACATTTCCGTTGTCTGTGTTTTTATACATGTACTAATAAGGACTCATTTAAAACCAAAGCTCCAATTGGGATTTTTAATGCGCCCGCGCGCAAAAGTCACCCACTGTCCAGACACTTTAACATTTGCCTTAAGAGAAGGCATGCTGTTGGGTTTGGTGAAAATGGCAGTTTTATCATAACTGTTCCTGAATATCAGTGCCAGTCACAAAAGCGCAGGTTTAGTCAGTGGTCAGCTGCGAATCAAAAACAACCGGGAGGCAGCAGCCCAGCACAGTCTTCGAAATCCAAAGAGAAACAGGAAAAACCAGAGACTGTTGCCTCCAGCGATGACAAGTCTGGACTGGACATCAGTTCTTTGACTGCAGTATTTGGCGAGACCCTCAGTTACGTTGCCAAACATATCGGCTCAGTGTTCTCTGTGGATGACACAGATCAAAAGCAGGAACTGTCTGCTACCGGAGGAAAGACCCGGAGGGTGAAGAAGAAAAAAATCCCAGACTCTAGTGAAAAGCCTGAAGTTAAACAACATAAAGAACAGACAACGGTGGAACACCAAAACGTCGCCGACACCTCTGAGGACTCATTCCTTCACATTGCGGAACACATCAATAAGTACTTTGGCACCACTGATGATGTAGATGAAGTTCACAGTGACAAAGAACTTCCTGCCTCAACAAAACCTACCTCAAAAGCTGCTAGCTTGAACGACAGCTATTCTCAGACATCATCTTATATCAATCAGTATTTTAGATCAAAAAGTGAACAGAAGGACCTTGGTCCAACTGTCAAAACAAAGATAGACCCGGCATCCTTAAAGAATACATCTTTGACGGACGTCTTTCGCCATCCCTCTACTGCTATTTCAGGTTTTCTGAGTTCGATGTTTCAGGAGACTGAAGTCACAACTGAAGTGGCTTTACCAGAGATCCTAATAAATAATAGGGTGAGTTGATCTGACATGTTTAATAGCGTTCATACCTGCTGAACTTGTTCACATTTTGCCACATTACAACCAGTAACCCTTATAAAGTAGATGGAGTTTTGTTTAATAGACCAACTCCAAGTAGTTAATTATTTTGAAGAAGGATAGGGATAGCTTTAATCTGATGCCCTAAAAAAAATTCACAGCAATTATATACCTCAGAAGACATCTCACTAGTTAATTTAATTGTATTTTACTTTTATCTGTACTGTGAATGCCTCAGAGGTTTGTTGAAGAATATTAGGGAACAAACAGCATCATAAAGACAAACAAAGACACCAGAGATGGTTGGAGATAAATTTGTGGAGAAATCTAAAGCAGGATTAGGTTATAAAACAATACTGCAAGCTTTGAATATATATAATTCTCAATCTATCATCCAGGAGTATGTGAACAACTGATCAGGCAAGGACAGCGTTAGATTTCCAGATTGTAAAAGAATGTCCTGTGGTTAGATGGGACCAGCAGTTTACTTTCACATTACAGAATGGGCAAAAAAATTCAGACTCTTGATGTTTAAGACTGGTAAAAAAAAAACAAAAAAAAAAACACTCACTTCTAGCCTAGTAGCATCAATATGTGGTTTTGCACCTTATTATTTTCAGATTTTCAATTTGTTAAATACAATCAGTTATAAAAATCACATATTTTTGTATAGCTTCACTATCTTCTACCTGTTTTGCTGCATTATATTAATCCCCTTTAACACACTTGGAATTTTTTTTTTTTTTTTTTTTGCATGCTAATGTTTTAAAACTTTCAAGAGGTATAAAGATCTTATATGGTCTTTTGCCTCATATGAGCTTCTTACACTGTTAAAGCTCCGCAAACGTTGTGTATTTTCAGTGTGTCTTGACCCGCAGACAAGCAGAGGAGACCACATTTAGGTTAATACTGAGACTAGAACAAGCCTCAACTCCAGACGTTATGACTGCCTGCATAGAAGTACTCAACGAACACCTTATCCGCTTCCCAGCATGCAAGTCTTTTATCTGGCAGGTCTTGTGAACATTTGTGTCAAAGAAAGGGTTGCAAATGTTTAAAAAGCTTAAAAAAATATGGAAAAATCCAAGATGCTTTTTGTTCCCCAGGGGAAATGTATAGTCAACCTGTTGAGACTGCGGCGAACTTACAAACACCATCAAGGACTGCAGGCCTCTATAAGAGAAGCCTTAGCTCTGATTGGTTATGTGGATCCAGTCAAAGGTCATGGCATCAGAGTTCTCTCCATCGATGGTGGAGGCACAAGGTTAGTAAATATGGGAAACTTTACTGTTAAGTTATGATGCGCAAAGTAAATGAACTACAGTAGTTGCTTTCTTTAACTAAATTCTGCAATATAGTGATACCTGTTGGTAAAATATTATAGATCAGTTGTTTTCACTTAATCTTGGGGTAAATTGAAATAAAATAATGTGTCGTATTATCCAAGACAGACATTTAGTAGCAGAAAAAGTCAATTTTAAATGTCAGTATTAAATGAATACTGAGGAAAAAATAGGAATCAGTGAACATCAATCAGTGAACCCGCATCTTCTAAATATATATTTCAATCTGATTAAGTTCTTCTTGTTTAGTATCACCTCACATTTGTTGTAATTTAAATGAACTTTACAACACAAACACATCTAATTAATATCTATTTATGTAGAATCCAAGTCAATGAAAATGCCATACAAATAGATCAAATCTATTCCATTAAGATCTAGTCATATAGTTAGATTAAGACTTTAATGCATTATAGTCAAACTCAGTAGGTATTAAATGCTAATTGTTAGAAAATATTACCTTTTAATGGAGCCAGTCAATTGATTTAAAGCTTACTTTAGCAATCCCTCATTCTGAGTATGTGACAAAGGTCTTGCCATAAATTATTCAGTTGTTTCACTCCGCCTACAAGAGTTTTTCTTTATCAGTTTGTTTTCTGTATATCGTAAAACACATATATCCACAGAATTAATTATTGTCAAACTCTTTAGTTTCATAATTTAATCAAACATGTATCTCAGTCAAGATTGTACTGAGAGACATTTGTTACAATATAGACACGTTCTTCTAATACACAGTGCTGACTACAACAATCTAATTCTGGATACATTTGCAAAATTCAAACTTTGTATAACAATTATTCCAGTCTTTTTTTTTTTTTCTATTTTAAAATGACTTTCAAACCATGACACATGACTTTTTTTGTATGACTACATTGCTTTTATAAGTATTTCTACACTTTACAAAAAACAACTTCAATGTTTTGGGGTTTTTACGTAACAGTCCAAAACATGATAGAAAGTTGAAGGAGAAGGATACATGGTTTTCAGTTTTTGTTTGGTTTGTAGGGGTTTTCGCAAGTAAAAATTGGAAAACTGTAAATATTTCTGTTCTTCCACTTCCCAGAGGTGTTGTACCTCTGCAGTTACTAAAGATACTAGAAGATGAGACCGGCAGAAAGATTTACCAGCTGTTTGACTACATCTGCGGAGTGAGCACAGGTAAAAACTAAAAAAACAAGAAAGAAAGCAAGCTAAGTCTGACATGTTACGATATTTCTGTTTTAATCTGTATCTATGTGTCACTTTAAAGTCATTGCTTCTTTATGCTAAAAGGAGCCATCTTAGCTTTCATGTTGGGGCTGGGCCGTGTTTCTTTGGAGGAGTGTACTGAAATGTACCGTCAAATTGGAACCGAGGTTTTCAAGCAAAACCCGCTGGTTGGCACTGTGAACATGGGATGGAGTCACTCCTACTATGATACCGCAACCTGGGAGAGAATACTACAGTACGTACTCTGAAAAAAATATGTTTATGTGCATTAGAATGAAACCTAATGAGCATTTACAATGAGATATAAGTTATACTCCCCACATGTTGCCTGTTTTACTTGAACAAGGGAGACGATGGGTTCTGATCTGCTAATTAAAACATCCAGAAACAAGTGCACTCCAAAGGTAAAGAAAATATCTTCTTTCAAAATTGACAAGGTGTGATATTTAGGTTAAAGCTGGTCCACGTTCAGCTTTGCAACCAAGGATTTGTTCCTCTTTTTCAGGTTTCAGCTGTCAGTGCAGTTGTGAACTGGGGCACAGGCCCTAAGGCCTTTGTGTTTCGCAACTACAGCCACAAACCAGGCTGCCCTAGCCGCTTTTCAGGGGCGTCCGACCACAAGATGTGGGAGGCAGTGCGTGCATCATCAGCCGCACCTGGATACTTCCAGGAGTTTCTTTTGCAGAATGACATCCACCAGGTTGTATAGTTGTCTGCAATAAAACTATTAATGTAAAATATTCATTGACCACAAATGTGTCTCATAACCTTGCATCCTTAAAATCATCTTAAATTCATGCATCCAAATTAAATAAAAATAATAATAATAATTTGATCTGTTTTATGTCAATCACAGGTATCAAATTTTGTCTATTTATTCTTGTAAATAGACCAAGAGTAAAACTACTTTTTCTGTGTGGGTTTTTGTTTTTTTGTTTTTTTTTTTCTCCTGGAGCTTTATGTCAGGAAAAAGTTTGAGACACATGCAGTCATCTTCATTGCATTCTGTGACTCTATGCGATTGATGCTACCGATAACTAGCTGCTGATATACTTTTTCTTGTCAGCGAGATAACTAGTTTTGTTGCATCTATTATGTTTAAGTGCAACTTTATTATCGGTTGGCTGGTCGATGTTCGTCTTCACTTCTGTTGCCAACCTGTATGATTCTACATGTAGTCTGTGCAAAAACGTTTGGCACTACAGGGGTTAAGACAATTGAGAGCCACACGGAGTAGGAGAAAACTGCTGCCAAGAGTCGCAAAAGACCACAGAAATGTCACAGTTTTGATCCACATGCATTGATAAATCTTCCCAGCAAACAGTTGGTGGGACTGCTACTATTAGCACTACTCTAAGAGCAGGATTTGCTGCGACACAAACTCTGAAGTTGGAGGTTTAGTGGATTTTACGCCATATAAAATGTAGTCAGGAATTGCTGCGCAGTTTCTTTTTTTTTTTTTTTTTTGTAGTTTTTCATTGCCATAGCAATGAGTGATAAACATATTGGCATTTAATATCTATGCAACAGTGAATTGGGTGATATCTGAGCTAGAATGTTGGACTGACTTCCTTTGGCTCTTGCAAACTGTACAGCATGTGTGTGGAATTAAATGTGAACCTGTGCTCTGCCGCTGCAGGACGGAGGAATCATCATGAACAATCCCTGCAACTTGGCGGTCCACGAGAGCCGGTTGATGTGGCCCAACACACCCTTTCAGTGCGTGCTGTCCCTTGGCACCGGACGCTATGACAATGTCAAGAGGAGCCCTAGCACTTCCACGAGCCTTCGAGCCAATATCACTAACCTGATCTTCAGCGCCACTGACACTGAAGGGGTCCACACCCTGTTGGGCGATTTGCTGCCCCCAGATGTCTACTTCCGCTTCAACCCCATGATGAATGATGAGGTGTCCTTGGACGAGAATCAGCCCGAGGCACTGGATAAGCTTGTGATGGAAACCCAGGAATACCTGGAGACAAATCGGTCTAAAGTGGCTAAGCTGTGTTTAGTTCTAAACTCACAGCGCTCACCTGTCGACCAAGCCAAGGACTGGATTAGTCAGAGGACTTGGGAAATGAAGAAGATGCTGATGTGATTTGGTGAGCTGAAGCTTTTCTACACATCAATTTGTGCAATGCTGTGAAGCACATTTACAAATGCCACAGAAAAATAGCAAAAGAACGTATGGAATAAATAAAGAGAATGAATACAACAGATTTGATGCTTTTGACACGTGTTTGTAGAATGTCAAGACATTTATTTCACAGAACGTCTTGAGTTGTGCTCGGTTTAGATGAAGAAGCAAATAAGGTAACACCTTCTCTTGTGTTATTGCATTTGTTTGCTCTCTTTATGTGTTTTCTTTATTAGTTTCAAATAAGTGTGCTAAACAATGTTACAATAAGATGATATAAGATAAGCAACTCTCATCAGAAAGGATTTCTTTTAACAATTCATTTCATGTAATGCGAACAATATTTACAATAGTCCAGTTTAGACTGTAATATGTTCAGAAATATGCTGGA